CCGCCGCCGGGAACCGTAAGGCGGCCGGCCTGGCGGGTGCAGCTGCGGCGCGGGCAGGGGGCTGAGCGCTGCCCGCTCCCTTTGTTCGGGACTTCCCAAACTTTCCTCTCCTGGCTCCCGGGCAGCGCAGGAGGTGAGCGGTGGGGGCGGGGGGAGGGCTGGGACAGGCAAAGGTAAGGAAAAACAAAAAGCGAACAAACAAACAAAAAGAGTCGAATGCCAGAGACTTTCACGCTTCATCACAGCTCTTTCTTGAATCCTATTTCTTAAATTGCCAGCGCGGTGTAGCCCCGTTTCGGACACTCTCTGCAGCCGGTCACAAGCCCCAAAGGGAAGCGGTGGCGTCCGCCAAATAGGAGGAGAGAGAGATCCGCCATCCGTGCCAGGTAGAGTTTTACTTTGTACAGTTGTAACCGCAATTGCGAGGAGACGGCTCCGCGCCGCTGCGCGCTGGCGGCCGCGGGCCGGCCGGCGACAGGGCCCGTGGTCCCCGGGCAGGACAGGGGCACGGGGCGGTGGGCAGCAGAGCGGAGCAACCGCAGCGGTGGCCCGTGTTCCTCCCCCCGAAGCCCCAACGTTTATTTGGTGCTGCTAACGCGGCTGCGGTTTCCCTAGGGAAACGCGCATGAGGGAGATGCTAATAATAATAATAATTTTTAAAAATACGGGTACGAAATTGGGGGCACTGTGATTGCAAACTGGTCGCGTCTTCTGTTAATGGCGTGTTGTACTTGGCAAGGAAAGGATGTGATGGTTGGCTTAGGCAAGGCACAAAGTGGGCACTCCGGCATGGGGCAAGTGTTGCTCGGCTTTTCTCTCCAGTATTTCTTGTCGGTCACTGGATTTCGCTTAAGCTCGGGGAGGAAGAAGGGAGGAGAAAAAAGAAACCCAAACCCACAACAAAACAAAAAGCAAAACGCAAAAAAAAAAGTTACCTGGCTGGTTGTGGCTTATATTTAGTAGTGCTATTTCCTAGGCTCAATTCTGGCCTCCATCCTTGAAGCCTGGTGTCCAGATGAAAACTAACATTGCCAGACTAGGAGATGCCCAGTTTTGCTCACTGCCTGGTGTTGTACTTTAGTTCCCTTTGTCCCTTTTATTTCTGCACCGTCGCGATACTTAGGCAGCACAGCAATTCTTGCAGATTCCCAACCATTTTTATTCCTTTTACGTTAATGCAACGAGTAAAATATTCTTTTTTTTTTTTTTTTTCAGTGTTGTGAGCATTTGCAATGCGTCTGGGGATTATTCACGTGGTAACGAGCTCACATCCCCGCTCCCGCTCGCCTTGCTGAGAAAAGAGAACCAGGAATAAAAGCCCAATCGATAACGCGATTCCATTTTTTAAAAGCGAATCTTAGCCAATTAACAGCAATAAAACCTGGCCCCTTTTTGAAGTGCTAACTAAAATATTCGAGGGGGGTAGCTGGAAATGTTGGTCCTTTTACAATTCACATAGAGAAGGCGAGCTAATACCATTAAACAAAAGGCACTAAGCCACATATTCAGGCTTAGCGAATTCAGCAACTTTTTATATGGGCAATTTGTTCTAGCTTAGATTTCGGAGTACGATGTGGAATATATGTTGTTGAAACCTGATCTCCCTTGGACAGATTCCTTCCATCCATCCATCCATCCATCCATTTATCCGTTTAGAGAGGATAACCCAAAGCATTTTACACGTACAGCTGAACGATTTTATTTCTAAAGTGTTACTTGGAGGAGCACCATTGTCCACTACTAATTTAAAATTCGACCCATTCAATCACCCCATTTACACCTAAGCCACTTTCCTGGGCTTTCGTTTATAGCAGCTGAAATGTGCAGCAGAGCTCGTGGATTGTTTTTATTTTGGTTATTGAAGACCTTTTTGCTTCTCCGCGTTTTCCCTCTGGTGGATTGTTGTGTGTTTTATAGCCAGGGTGATGCTTGGTCCAAGAGCGCCAGTGTAATGTTTCGCTAACCTTCTACAGAGCCGAAATGAACCCAAGGATAAGATTATAGTTTCCCCTGTGATTTTTTTACGGCTTTTTAAGGACTGGGGTGTTAAAATATTTTGCGGAACTGGAGAGGTAGATTAGCAGGGTTTCTTGCCAAAGCTGGGAAGCTGGTATTACAGACTGTCCCAGGGGGAAATCGCTCACATTAACCACTAAATGAATATTTGACAAGGGCTCATTCGGGGGTATTATTACTACAAACGGGTCCCTACTGGACTTTCCAAGGGTCAAAGAGCAATGGTTCAATTAATTATTTAGACTGTTAGTAGATTTGGTTGTAATAGCTGTACTTATTTCTGCAACCGACAGCTTCTTGCGGTGGGGGACCTGGGGAGAGGCTCTGCCTCACAGCCCCTGCTCCAGCCCGCCGGCGGGCAGCGGCGGGGCCAGCGGCTGCCGGCGGCCCTCAGACGTCTCTGGGCTGAAAACATATTTTTTATTCTTTGAGATGCCCACTGGTGCCGTGTGGGACATCGGGGGTGGCGGTGATCCACACAGCAGCGTGTTCTCTCTCCAGATTAATTCCTCCTCGTCCTCAACGGGCGGCAGAGCTGTATATCTGTCCCCGAGTAGGAGGTAGATAGCTCAGCAATTTAAGTGGTATATAATATAGGTCCAACTGAAAGAAAGAGGCCCATTACTGATAGGTGTGATTAGATACACTTCAGTTATTTAAATCCTGATCTAACTCAAATATTAAAATCTAAAGCTTGCTTTGTTGGGTACGAGATTTCCGAGGATATATGCAAAATGCTGACATTCAGATGGAAGGAGAGCTTCGTCTTTGCGTTTTTGACGCCAGCCAGCCTCGCCTGACACTGTCGTTTCAACATTTTTGTTGTTGGGGGGGGGCGAGAAAAGGGAGGATTATTTTGTTTAATTTCTACAACAAACATGTCCGCAGTAGTAGATACTAAAAAAAAAAATGTTGGGAGTGTGCGATTAGGTGACAATAATATATGTTGAATGAATAAGAGATAAGCTGCAAGGGGGGAGAGGGAAGCAGTAATTACAAACCCAATTCATTCAGCTTTTCAGGACTTTTGTTGTGGGAGCTCCATTGACGGGCTTCGAGCTGCCAGTTTTCTCACATTAAAAAGAACTGATCAGCGCCTCAGGGGGACAAGCAACACCGCTTAACTGCATAGTGATGGGGTCCTCATTTAGAGCCATTACAACAAGAAAATTAAACAGAGCCTTTGTGTGCACCAGGTTTACTTTTCAATTGCTGACAGTTTATAGCTAACTGCTCAGAGATTGAAGTTTGATTGCGGTTTGATCGCCTGCTAGTTAGCACCAACGCTATTTTAGTTTTGGTAATTAAAACCAGTTTTTCTGACGATGGCACGGGGAATTGCAAGAACTTTGGTACTATTTTGCTTTTGAGGAATCAATTCGCTTGGCGAGGACGTTACAGCGCTGAAGTGAGTGTGGGGGACTGTTCCACTTGCGAGCTGAGAAGGAAGGAAACCCAGGGATGGAAATCTTCCGAGCTGCACGTTTGGCTGTGCGGGAGCGGGAGGGCGAGCTC